CAATGCAAGCAAAACGCCACAAGCGCAAAAACGAAAACCGTTAGCTTTTGCATGATTCCTTATTTATTTATTAAATTTCAAACGACTTGTTCGTTCGAAGCCTAGACCTTGTCTGACGAAGATTCTTCCGTGGCTATTTATATAGTGAGTCTGTATATACGCTCGTGTGTATGTGTGTGTTGGGAACAGGGGATTCCATTTTATCTGTACAAAAACATTGCATAGGGTCATATTATAAGCGTTGAGAAATAAGTTGTTGCTACAAAGATGCAGATAGCAGAAAAATGATTTGTTTTGTAAACAATAATATTGACGTTGCCGGGGACTCGGGGAGTTGGGAATAACTTGTTACGATTAGCTGTTTTATGGAATCAAATTAAGAGTTAATGTAGATAACTAGATGTCATAGACCAATGGTAGATATCCATGGTGTTTGGTAGGTGATTTTTTTACATGAATATATACCTAAGTAATATCGTATACCTACATTCTATGTACCTACTTATGTCAGTCACAGGAAGATAAGTAGGTACCTAAGCTTGAAAAGAATTTGCCAATCAACATATTAACTAGACCAATAGCTTTTTGTTGGGGTCTGTCTGACTGCTCCAACTCCAAGAACTGCTAGGCAACTATTTAAAAGATTTTTGGGTATGATATAGTCCTTTATGCGAGATGAATGGGCTTTGACATCACATCACGGAGAGAGAGGTCTTAAAAAAGACCTCTCCCGCCCTTGATGAGCCGAGAGGAAGTAAGGAATTACACAAGTAAGGTCGCCAGTAAGAACTAGATATTTACAAATATAGGTACAAGTCATCTGTTAATTGATATAAATATTAAAATAATTAATATAAATATTATAAACGGTAAAATTTGTTAGTCTGTATGTAGGCGAGAATGTTCGGAACCGCTGGTCGTATTTCCAAAATTCTTTCACCAATACTACCCGAGTACCTAATACATGAGTGTAAACCCTGTACCCTATTAAAAATTACCCTACTACCAATAGGAGCCGAGCAGCGGGCGAAGCCGCGCGGCAGTAGCTAGTAATCTATAAATTCATGAAGACACAAAGCGATAAATATTAATAAGATAAGCAGTAGATATAGATCGCAATTAATCATAAAAAGTGCATTAAAATGCAGTGTAGATAAACCAAGATACTTAAACTCATCATTATTTCGCAACATGCTTGCTGATAAAGTTTATTAATCCTATAAATATCTAAGTAAGTATATCTATTTCTAAAGCAGTAAGTACACTATAATAAGTACATGAAACATACCTAATAATGCTGAGTAATGAATTTCTATTATTGTAAAATAGAGATAATAATCTTGAATGAGCAACCTACTTATCGTTTAAGATTTATTTTGATGGAATCATCAAATTACCTACCAACCCTGGGTGCGAGGAAAAGAACTATAAGACTTTAACTGGCTAAAATGCAAATCCGTTCTCGCTCCGTTACTTAATTTTTTTTTTTATGTAATAGGTCGGCAAACGAGCAGACGGATTACCTGATGGTAAGCAATCAGCGCCGCCCATGGACACTCGCAACGGAGGAGTTACGAGTGCGTTGCCGACCTTTAAGAGATTAGGGATTTGGAGATTTAGGGATTGAGGAGGGATTGGGGAAGGGGAAGGATTGGGCCTCCGGTAACCTCACTCACACGGCGAAACACAACGCAGTGGTTATTTCACGCCGGTTTTCTGTGAGGCCGTGGTATCACTCCGGTCGAGCCGACCCATTCGTGCCGGAGCATGGCTCTCCCACACTTGAAACACAAATTAATACGTTACTGCTCGTTTGCCGACCTATTACATAAAAAAAGGGGTATCGCAAGACCGGCCCGAGTGTGCCTAGTGAGTCTTGGGTCTAGAACTGATTGAACGGCCAGCAACCCTTTCTCGCTGTCTGCAGGCAGGTTACGGTGATCGAATAGTGTCGACTCCCGACGACCAAAGAGTCTAAGTTCTTCTCTGGTAAGAGTAGATGTGGTTTGTGACCACAGTCAGGAATCCAAATAATCATCAGTAGGTAGTTCATGACAGTACAAGGTAGGAGCGGACCCCTCCTCTTACTCGTACTTAATAGCGATTTGCTACAATCTTCACATAATTGACAAACACGTTGGATAGACTGTCATAAGGACGACGTTAATATGGAAGAGAAATGGACTTGTTATGGGAATACAGCGGAATAAGACATACCAACCTCAAAAATATTGAGAAAAGGATCGAATGAACTGCACGGTTGGTGCGGTGGCTGGGCAACTGGCTGCCGTGCAACGTGTCGCGGGTTCGATTCCCGCACGGAACAACTCTTTGTGTGATCCACAAATTGTTGTTCCGGGTCTGGGTGTCATGTGTATGTGAAATTGTATGTTTGTAACCGCACCCACGACACTGGAGAAAATCCTAATGTGGGGCAAAGTTTTATATTAAAAAAAAAATAACTAGACTTGCTTTACTAATCAAACAATTTTATTACGTATCTATGGTTTTTAGGTTATTAATTTAATTAGGTACCAATTATTTCTTCTCTGCGTCACCTGATGGTAAGCTATCAGCGCAGTCCTTTGCTTTGGTGCTGAGTGTCCAGTAAACTTCGTCATACGGCTAAATGCAAGGTAAGCTTTGTTTCACTGCGGTTTTCTGTGAGGTCGTTTTGTCACTCCCACGTGAAAATTTTCTTAATGTGCTAAACAAACAATATTATGTAGGTACTTAGTACTTACTTACTTACACTTCTGAATTAAATAATAGATACATACTTAAATAAAAAGAACTAACTAAACTAAATAACTTCAAAGAAAAAACGAGACGAACTGTGAAAAATGTTTCGTAATGGCGGGAAAAATTAATCAGTTTTCCTATGCGCGCGCATCGGCCATAGACTAAAAAGACGAGGTTACTTTTTTTTGAGCCTTTCGCGGATAGCATTTTAGCGCAAATGTAAGCGTAACTGAACCAATAATTTAAAAAAGCACTCACTTGTGAATTGTAGTAATAAAAAGTCACAGTTTGTTTACTAGTCCGGTCAATTTAGACCAAAAAATGAGGGTGAGGTTACATAAAGTCCCAACAAGCTGAATTTCTGTAAAATTGTTCAAAACATAGTTATAAACAATGTCTAAAAGTTCCCCATCATTCCCCTGTAAGGAAAAATTTTTATTCAAGGTCAAAGGTCAGAAAAATGAGTTTTTCTCGATTTGCAGCAAAACGGTAAGTTTTATGATAAAAGTACCTCCGACAAAAATTATAGTTCATAAAATTATCTATAAAAATGTATCAACACTTTTTTCTTATGACCCACCGTTTCTGAGATATAACGATTCAAAAAGTTATAAAAGTTGTTGTTGTCATAGTATGCATATATACATCAAGAGATCATCGCTACGTATCAAGAGTTGTTACATTTTATGTATGTTAGTAATTAATTTTATATATGTTTAAACATTTTATATCGGTCATTGTAACTTATACTTACAATATAAAATATACTTAAATTTTAACAACATCTGCATTTTACAAGAGGGGTAGAACAGCGGTTTTCAAAATGTTTGAAAACAAGTTATAATTCAATGTGCTGAAGTTTTTAAAAAGAGTAATTCAAATCAACAATCCACTTTCTTCTTTCTGTGTACGGAGCTCCTAAAAGAACTGCCTGTTTAGATAAGCATCGATATGCATGGTTGGGTAAAAATACTAAAAATAAAAAACAAGTTCAATTAGCTTGTCTTTCTCCAATCTCAGTTACTGGACACTGGTTATCTTCTTCGAGTATATTACCAAGTTCAAGTGTGGCTTGGTTATCAGCTACAGATTGGGGTTTAAAGTTAGTCAACAACAAATTAGATCCAGTTCAAACATTACTTCCACCAGCGCCGGAAAAACTGCTGAACACTATTTATTGCAACTGCAACTTTTTGCACATTTAGCACTGCATCCCTTTGGATGCAGTGCTAAATGTGCAAAATGTGGTTGCAAAAAAGTCGGGCTATCTTGTTCTTTGGCATGCACAAATTGCCAAGGCCCGTCGTGCTCTAATATTGAATCACAAACAATAAAGGATTCGTTTGACTCCGACGAAGTATCCTGTGATACATCGCTATTGACGCAATTTATTTGCATCCAAAATGCATCCATCGCTTTTATCTTTCTACAACAATCTTTGAAAATTTCCGTTATTTTGAGATAGTTTTACATTAACAGGATGACAAATGACCCGTAGAGTAGGCCTACTGAGGAAACCACGTTAAAAAACGTGCTAAGTACACTACCTCATAGGTGGCGTGGAAAGGTGTGCATATTATGACAATAACAACTTTTACAACTTTTTGAATCGTTATGTCTCAGAAATGGTGGGTCATAAGAAAAAAGTGTCGATACATTTTTATAGATAATTTTATGAACTACAATTTTTGTCGGAGGTACTTTTATCATAAAACTTACCGTTTTGCTGCAAATCGAGAAAAACTCATTTTTCTGACCTTTGACCTTGAACAAAAATTTTTCCTTACAGGGGAATGATGGGGAACTTTTAGACATTGTTTATAACTATGTTTTGAACAATTTCACAGAAATTCAGCTTGTTGGGACTTTATGTAACTTCGAATGTCTAAATTGACCAGACTATACAGATGTCATTACGTGCCTTATTGCCGTGGGATTAGAGCCACTTTACATGGAAGTATGTTGAAAAAACATTTATTGAAAAATAAACTATACTTACTTATTAAATTTTAATGTAATATTCTTATCAAAAGTTACAAGAAACCCATTATTATTAATGATTATTATTAAATGAAGGTTTTTGTATTTGTTCCTAATCAAATCAATTCTTTTACTTGTGATTTACAGGTATTTATATAATAGGAAAAGAATAAGGATGTATCACGTAGTTACTTTAATTTAATACAAGGGGAGACTTATCTCTAAGTTACAGGTATTTTAAAAGAAATATTTAGTTTTACATGAACTAAGTCTTTGGACTGTTTGAAATGCAATGTTTCAGCAGTTGCTGATGTCAGGCAGGGTCTTGCCCCTGCAGTGGTTCTTCCACCCATACCAGGCATCGAACTTGTGTCGTTTGTAGATCTTCTTAGCGCATTGAGACGCGAGGGTGATGTCGTCCAACAGCATTTCTAGAAAAAAGAAATAAATTAATGTTTTTAGACATTAAATTATTGAAAGGGCAGTTAATAATCAAATGGTTATGAGGTTTTTTTAAATTAACGTTTAGTAATCTATGACTTTAAATCGTGGTGACCCATTTTCCGAATTATACATTGTAGTTTCTATGAGTATTTAGACTCCAATGATTATTTAGATACAATGGAGCACGCCATCTATCTCTAGGCCCGAGTGCCTTGAAGACACTATTCGGGGAACACAGACACCGGCAAAGTAAGTATTCTACTCCTTGGCAGTTCTGATTATAAAAACTGCATTACATTGATGCGTTTTCATTCCTTAGTATGTTATGTATGGCCAGGTGGTACTTACGTGCACAAGTGACGTTGCAGTCCTTGCCAGGAGTGCTAGTGTTGCTGCACCAGTACTTGTCGTTTATCTGGAACAGTCCATAGTCCCGGGACCCGTTCTTGTTCACGGTTCCCATCTTGTCCGTCTTTCTACCGCTCTCGTTCTCCACAAGGCACACCCCTAGATAAAAAAATTTCGTGAATTAGTTCATTGACAGGGAAAAGTATTAGGTACTTAATTACTTCGTAATCATATTGAAAATTTGCAGTTACTGCAGTTACAGCTACTTTATATCTGGCTATCCGTTAAATTTATATTAGACTCGATAATGTTGACTATTGCTACTCAAATTCTGCGTTAAACAGGACTGCATTATTCAATTTGAAGAATTTATATTACAAGAGAATAGTTTTGTAAAAAATGTACTCACAATCCCGCATCTTGTCTTCAGGGAATCCTTGCCTCCTCAGCTCTTGGACCAATCCGCATCGAGTAAAATGTTTTGCCTCGCAATGCAAGCAAAACGCCGCAAGCGCAACAAAGAAAACCGTTAGCTTTTGCATGATTCCTTATTTAAATTTCAAACGACTTGTTCGTTCGATGCCTAGACCTTGTCTGACGAAGATTCTTCCGTGGCTATTTATATAGTGAGTCTGCGTATACGCTCGTGTGTAGGTGTGTTGGGAACAGGGGATTCCATTTTATCTGTACAAAAACATTGCATAGGGTCATATTATAAGCGTTGAGAAATAAATTGTTGCTACAAAGATGCAGATAGCAGAAAAATGTTTTGTTTTGTAAACAATAATATTGACGTTGCCGAGGACTCGGGAAGTTGGGAATAACTTGTTACAATCAGCTGTTTTATGGAATCAAATTAAGAGTTAATGTAGATAACTAGATGTCATAGACCTCTTACAATGGTAGATATCTATGGGGTTTAGTAGGAAGAAAGAAAGAAAGAAAAACCATTTATTTTACACACAAATGACGCAAGAAACAAACACACACGAATATAGCTATACAGGGACAAAACAAAAAATGAACATAAAAAAAGAAAAGCGCTGCAATTGCGTCACTCATGTGTGAAAAGGGGCAGCGCTCAGCATAAATGCTGTGTCTTGCGCACGCAGGCACGAAACAACAGCGCTGGTTTTCACCGCTGGCCCACTAGTAGTAGTAGTACTAGTAGTAGGAGAATTTTTTGCATGAACTCCTGAACTCCATACAATCGACTCAACAACAAAACACCAAAGAAGTTACCATAGCGTCGCCGGCCTTTTGGGAGTAGGTAAAGGGTTTTGGAGATTTAAGGATTGAGCCGAGATTGGGGGAGTAAGGGAAGACGGATTGGGACATAGCTGTGGTTACCTAAGTAACTACCAGTATTTAATAAAGGTAATCTAAGGATGGGCAGGCCACGTCGCTCGAAAGACGGACGGTTGATGGGCCCGAAAAGTGCTAGAGTGGCGACCAAGGTCCGAAAAACGTAGTGTGGGCAGGCCTCCCGTTAGGTGGACCGACGACATCGTCAGAGTCGCGGGGAGCCAATGGATGCAGGTGGCAACTTGTCGTTCGACGTGGAGAGCTAAGGGGAGGCCTTTGTCCACCAGTGGACGTCTTCCGGCTGATCATGATGATGATGATGATGAATCTAAGGATTATTATGCATAAAAAACTTAACAGTATAGTTAAATGTCATTCATCAAGACAACCAAAGAAGCATGTAGGTAAGCATGGATGAAATCGACTGTTCAAATTACCTATTTGTATTTTTTTGGTTTTATTGCAACTTGAATCAAAGTAATATTAATACCTACTTATCTCAGTCACAAAAAGATAAGCTTGAAAAGAATTATTCCAATCAACACATTACCTAGACCAATAAGTATTTGCTTGTCTGACTGCTCTAACTCAAAAACTGCTAGGCAATTTTTCAAAAGATTTTTGGGTATGATAGTCCTTTATGGGATATGAATGGGCTTTGACGTCATACCATTTCTTATGACTTCTTCCGCCCTGGATGAGCCGAGGGGAAGGAATTAAAAAAGTAAGGTCGCCGGTAAGAACTGGATATTTACAAACATATCAGTCATCTATTAATCTAAATATTATAAAAGGGAAAATTTGGTAGTCTGTATGTAGGGGGTAATGTTTCGAACCGCTGGTCGTATGTCCAAAATTCTTTCACCAATAAATAGCTATTAAGTTCCTGAGTGTGAGTGCTGTTGACTTTAAAACATCATCCAACGACCAATAGCAGCCGAGCAGCGGGTAAAACCACGGCAATAGCTAGTTATCTATAAATTTATGAAGACACGAAGCGATAAAGATTAATAAGATAAGTAGATAGATATAAAGATCGCAATTAATAATAAAAAGTGCATTAAAATGCAGTGTAGATAAAAAAATCAAGATAAACTCATTATTATTTCGTAATATGCTTACTGATAAAGTTTATCACTCCCTAAGTATGTAAATCTATTTGTTGAGCAGTTAGGTAGTGAACTATTATAAGTACCTACCTACTGTTAATAATAATAATAATGATGAATCCGCAAGGCAGCTTGTGGCGAGCTGTTGGGCAGTGGCGACCCCACGGACCTGACTCCCGGGAGGTGTCTTGTTCTTCTCTCTCCAGTTAGTCCTCGTGACGAGCTGGAGTGAACACTGATGAAGAACAAGCCCTCCTACCTCATTCTTGCCTTAATTGGCTGGCTTGAGTGGAGATTCGCAAGAGTAGGAGTTGAAGGAGACTCGGGGGAAGGATGTATCTCAGTAAGGTGCTGGTAGGGGTCTTGACCGTACTTCCGGGATTGCTCTGATAGCCGTGGGATGCCTCTCCTTCCCCAAGCAGCTCAACGTATATTGCCCCCGTGTCGCTACATGCTAGCGGCCGTTTCCGGGGGCCCATTAATTGAGTTTGCCAGTCACCCCCTGCCTGTTTATCCGTATGTATCAATATTGGTCAGGGGCAGGGGCCATAGTATTTCCATAGTTTTCATCCACTAGTGCATAACAACCCATACCCATAACCCTATCAATTGTTACCACATTTTACAATAGTCCTGCATCAACCGGGGATTGTCCTTGGGTGCACTTTTATAGTGCATACAGGGATAATTGCCGGCTGATGTCCCATCACATTTAGATTAAAATTGTTCAACGGGCCTCTGCGAGTTGGCTTCGGCTCCTCGTATGCCTTCCAAAGGTCCCGGACCCTGTGGTCCCGTGAAAGGAAAGAACAAACAAAATAATGATGAGTAATGAATTTCCTTTATTGTGAAAACAGATACCTACAGACAGAATATCCATATCTACAGATACCAGGTACCAACAGAAAAATCATGTTTGAATTAGATATCGTTAGGAATTATTTTAACGGCACGGGAAATCATTAAATGATTTCGCCTGCCCTGGGTGCGACGATAAGGACTGTCAGACTCTTACTGACTAAAACCCCTCGTTCTATCTCATAATTAGAGCCGGATCACGGGAGCTAAGTGTGCTTTGCTCTCTAAATCCAATGACGAAGGCCGCATGACCGGACATCTGTCCTAGTGGGCCCGATCCGTGGTGGTATGACTAGTGGCTCTTCGAGGTGTGTTCCTTCTCCTCCTTCTTTGAGCGTAGTAGATCGTCGATCTTCTAAGTTTTTCTGAGTTCGTGTGGGTAGAATTAGTTTGTGATCATATTCAGGTAGGTAAAACGGGGTGAATAGAATTTGAGAGGTGAGTTCACAAGAAGAAGGGGTGAGTTGACAAGAAGAGGGGTGGTACAAGGAAAATCGCCAACATCTATCTATTCACGCCTCTTGTTTTACGGTACCTACTTAAGTAATTATCAGCAGTCTATGGCAGTTCACATTAGGAGCAAAAGCCTCCTCTACATAATAGGAATTTGCCAGGTGGGTACGTCGGTTAGATTGTGCGAAGAACGATAGGCATCACCATGAAGGAGAAAGGAGAACTGGATTTGTAATGGGATGATGTATGACAAGGAAATAAGGTGGAACAAGAAAAACCAGCCTTAAAAATCTTGGGATAAGAATTGAATGATCTAGACTTGCAAGTAATCAAACAATGTAATTACATATTGTTAAAATTAGGTACCTATTATTGCTGTTCTGAATCCTTTGATGGTAAGCTATGAACGGCGTCCTTTGCTTTGGCGCTGAGTTTCCAGTAACTTTTGTCATACGGCTAAATGTGAGGACGTTTTGTCACTAAACTCGAACCGGCCTATCCAGACATTATGAAAGTTTTCACGTCAAAGTTTATAATGAGCTAAACAAACAATGTTATGTATGTACCAACTTGGATGGTTGCCATGGATGGATGCCTAAATGATGTAGGTATTATTGTCATTTTTTTTTTTTTTTTTTTGTGAGGGGAAAATCATCAAATGACTTCTCCCGCCCAGGGCCGGGCAGGAGGGAGTGTCAGACTCTTACTGACTAAAAACCCCCCTGTTCCTTCTCCTGCTCTGTGCCGAGGTCGCGGTACCTTATTGCGCTTACCCCGCAACCCCGGCTGAGCATCAGCCCTTTAGGGCCCCGTCTGTGGTGGTCTATTGGCTCTTTGAGGCGCGCGCGGAACGCTACGCGCCGTACGCTCGGGCCTGGTTCTGGTCGGGCGGCGAGCTTCCCTTACTCGCCGACCGCAGGCCCGTACTTACGGTGGCCGGAGATCGTCCCTCGATCCCCGACGCCCGTAGTGTCGCCAGTTGCGGCTGCTGGGGCGTGAGGAGGAGGATTGCTCCCTCACGCGGGCCGCCTCTCTCTTTGCGAGCATGACTGCTTCACAAAAGGAGGAGACGGCGTCCCAGTTCCTCTCACTCCGCACCATGGCCTCGACTAAGGCCGGGCGCGAGAGGTCGCCGCCGCCGATCACTTCCCTGAGGATACGGCGGTGCTCAGCCCAGGCAGGGCATACCGCTACCGTATGCTCCACCGTATCCTCTGCCATTATACATATATTATACTCATTGTAGGTACCTACGCATGAGAGTATTAAATCATTTATTGTTAGCTAAAATTATGCTGCAAATAAACAATATTAAATTTTAATGTAATATTCTTATCATAAGTAACAAGGTACCTATTATTATTATAAACTTAATTTAACGAGAGTTTTATACATATGTATAAATAAATGATGGTTTTCTTTACTGTTTTATTCTTACATTATAAGAAAATAATTATGATGTATTACGTACCTAGTTCCTTTAATTTTCTGTGCGGTTAAGGTTCTGTGCGAGGTCGTGCATGTAAGAAATTATAAAAAAATAAACTGGTAAACAATTCTCTTTTTCTTGTTATCATTTGACTCATAATATGTCTAATTAAAATATAATTACTACATTAAGATAGCTGCCGAACTTTTTGGAAGCTTAAAGCCGTGATATTTTTAAAGAAGAGAAACTTTTTTCTCCTTTCGAATCTACACTTTGGAACGAGCACCTAGCTTCACTGACAGACTATAATATTCTATTTTGAGGTTTCAAAAGTTCCTGTTTATGGTTTAATTGGAATAAATGGTTTTAACTTTGAAGGTCATATGTCGCTGTATTGACACTTAAATCGTGTTGGCTACACAAGGAAAATATGATCTTCAAAATAACTGAGTCTGTCTCCAAGCGCTCGGGGCCGCCCCTTTATAAGCGACTGATGAACTCAGTTTATAAAAGTAGTCAAGTGTGTTTTTGCTCGGGTTCTGTATAATTATCCTCTAAAATGATTAGATGGGTTAAGAAGCCCGCTTCTCATGCATGAGGGTGTGGGTTCGAAACCTGACAAGTTCCAATATGACTTTTTCCAATTTATATGTACTTTCTATGATTATTTCAATACCAACATCGTGAGGAAACCTGGACTTATAATTTCTAATTATAAATTTGAAATCGGCAACCCGCATTGAGCAAGTGTGGTGATTAATGCTCTAACTTTCTCCGTATAAGAAGAGGCCTTTGCTCAGCAGTGGGCACTTATAGGCTGATGATGATGATGAACCTCTAAAATGTGCTGTCATGAGACATAATAGAATATATATTGTGTTTCGTTTATAAACTAAAGGTTAAATCTATTTTGTTAGCAGTTAGATAGGTTATTGGTAACATGATCAATAAAAGTGCATTACTGAATTATAGGACAGGCCTGCTCTAGGTACTTACATGAGAGGGTCTATTGGAGATCGCATTCACTTATTATCATAATGCTATAAGCATGTCGGCTCCTCACATACTGTGCGCAGACGGCGAAGTAGCGGGGTCTCGAGGAAGCAGCGGGGTTTCGGGAAGCAGTGGGGTTTCGGGGAAGCAACGGGGTCTCGGGGTAACACCGAGCACCGATACGAGCTGGAAGACTGGATATGGTCTTTACCCAGAGAGAGTATTTAGCCCTAATTTGGTCATTCTTAGCAAGTTGTGGCAGTCGCTACATAAACAGTACGGATCCTAAGCTGGGGTTGTGAGTGCTAGCAGAATGATGTACCGCGGCCTCGGCCTGGAGGAGGAGAAGGAACGGGGCGGATTTTAGTCAGTAAGAGTTTGATACTCCCTCTCGCCGTACTCAGGGCGGGAGAAGTCATAATTTCATATTCCCACTTCAAAAACATAAATAAAAGAAACGAAAATAGCTTTAAGTGTGGGAGAGCCAAGCTTCGGCACGAATGGGTCGGCTCGACCGGAGTGATACCACGGCCTCACAGAATACCGACGTGAAACATCCACAGCGTTGTGTTTCGCCGTGTAAGTGAGGTTACCGGAGGCCCAATCCTTCCCCTCCCCCGATCCCTCCCAATCCCTAAATCTCCAAAACCCTAATCCCTAAAAGGTCGGCAACGCACTCATAACTCCTCCGTTGCGGGTGTCCATGGGCGACGCTATTCCATAAAAAAAAATATATAAACAATTTTGTAAAACAATTATGGAACTCCAAAATAAGAGTAAAGATACACATAACACGTCTGCAGTTTATTTGTTACTCATACAAACAAGGCTTTAGGTCCTAATTGTTAAAGATACACTCGTTAAGTTACTTACTGCATTTTCCTGTCGGCTGTAATACCTAATTGTTTTATTATGACTTATAATTGTTATGTGTTGTTTGTTTACACGCCAGTCTTTGTGGTTAGGCTTAGTATTTACCTATGTTAATAAGTTTACCTAAGAATGAGTAAGTAAAGTACCCTTTTTCTTCCCTGGCTAAAAAGAACCCGGTAAAAAGGGTATACCTAAGTATAACAGCGTTGGGTAACGTGGGAGGCATCCCTATACCTAATTCTTAAATCCCAATCTCCAAAACGTCGGAACTTACAACTCCTCCTGAGAACTCCTCTGATGTTGTGTGTGTCTCGTCCGCTTATCTGCTCGATTCCATAACAAAATCAAATAGATTTCAAAGTTTTTAGACTACCTATTTCTAGGATTCTTTAACATTTACTATCCATTGGTTGTCTGGAAGAATTCACCCTCTGTGATTAGACCACCGATTGTACACTCTATAAATAATACGAATGATCTATTTTTTTAAAAAAAACGTTGCCTCACACTTAGTTTTTCTCATGTGTCGTGGGTGCGTTTAGAAAGATACGATTTCATATACACATCACACCCAGACCCGAAACAAGGATTCGTTATTCCCACAAAGAGTAGTGCCGTGCAGGAATCGAACCCGCGACATGTTCCGCTGCAACCGGCTACCCAGTCATCGCGCCAACTGTGCAGTCGCTTTGTAGAATTTGTAATAGGTGATATACAAATGTGTACGATAAAGTACACCTATATACAAAAAAAAATTATAAGTTTGAATATCTGCCTCAACCGAAGGAAATTTTTGCGTTCTATTTTCAAATCATGCCATGCATGGATAAATTCTGTAAGAGTAACGATGTGGTTCTTTATGCATTTGTCTATTACATTTTTCATTGATTACTGGCCAGTAAGAATTCATTTGTTTAAGTGACAAATCGAAAAGGAACGCGGCTCGATGATCGAGCCAGGGAAAGTGCTTATTTAATTATTTTTTAATGATATCTAATCTATCTTAAGTGGTGTTCTCTTTTCGCTATGAATAGCAAAATACTATGCATTTATTAGATAATACTGGAGTACTTTAGTGGGTGTGTCAAGACGTTTGGGGAATAACATACTAAAATATAACGTTATCATTATTAATGTTAGATTCTAATAATAAATTGTTGATAACAAAAGTGTAACGCTAAAATCGGTTGATAGGTATGATTAGGAGTAAGTTATTGATAAAGATAACATAGGATTTGTTAATAATCACAATGTTTAATAAAACATAAAATATTTTTTTTAACAAAAACAACCGAATTCAAAAATTAAACAATACAAGTTTGCTTTGAAGAGAGTAATACGTATGTATTTTCGTTTAGTTAAATAGAAAATAATATCTAGGTAATAACCATTTTATAATCTTGAATTCGAAGCTCGAAAAACTGAAACTTTATGTATGATTATATCTTAATAATTCATTATATTATATTGAAAATCAAAGCAGGTAATTTAATTTTGAACTAGAAAACTACCGAATTGTGTATTGGTATTTTCTATCGGTGTTTAATAAAATGATTTGTGACGTCATCCGTTGATTATTGTCCAGTCGGGGTTGCGGGGTAAGCGCAATGAGGCACCGCGGCTTTGGCCTAAAACAGAAGAAGGAAGAGGGGGTTTTTAGTCAGTAAGAGTCACACTCTCTTCGCCCCACCCTGGGCGTGAGAAGGCATTTTTAGATTTTCTCCTGACAAAAAGCATCTATTGATTATTATCGTCGATGTGACTTGCCACGGGTGGAGTTATTTGACAACATGTCCGTTCACAAACAAAAAAGAAAAATTCCCCTTTAAAAAAGTACAGAACATGAATAAAATTTACTATATAATTCTTCCTCGTTGTTGTTTATATAGTCATATAAACGTGATGAGCATGGCAGAGTTAATAGATACAAACACGGGTGGGTCATACGCAGTCACCGAGGAATCCCCTTTCTGCAAAGTGAGTCATTGAGTCATTCGAGTTCACACAAGATACAATTAGCAATTTGCTTACTGTTACATGCTTTATACACTTGCACATTGAAGCTGCGAATTTTGAGTAAATTTGTTTTTCAATTTTCAAACTTTACACAAAACACAAGTTATCAATATAATTATAGTATTTAAGTATACTTATATTGTAAAGAGGTAAAATTTGTAAGTTTGTATGTAGGGGGGTAATCTTTGGAACCGCTGGTCGGATTTCCAAAATTCTTTCACAGATTCTACAATGTTAAAAAAATTACGCTATTATCGATATGTGTGGGAGAGCCAAGCTTTGGCACGTATGAGTCGGCTCGACCGGAGTGATACCACGGCCTCACAGAAAACCGGCGTGAAACAATTACAGCTTTGTGTTTCGCCGTGTAAGTGAGGCTACCGGAGACCCAATCTTTCCCCTCCCCCGATCCCTCCCCAATCCCTTAATCTCTAAAACCCTAATCGCTAAAAGGTCGGGAACGCACTCGTAACTCTTTCGTTGCGGGTGTTTATGGGCGGCGCTGATGCTTACCATCAGGTAATTTGTCTGCTCGTTTGCCGATTTATTACATAAAAAAGGAGCCGAGCAGCGAATGAAACCGCGTGAGAGTAGTTATACCTAATTGTACAAGATATTATGTAAATATGAAGTATGAAACAGAAAAACAGTCCATGATTTTGGATTTAAAAGTCTGTATGAAAACCGAGTTCGAATTTGCTTCTTCACTTAAAATAAATTGTTATAAGTAGTACTCCCTCGGTAGATACCTACCTACCCACGATTGAACGATATAGATAACTATTAGACAGACTATCAGAACCGAATGAAAAAAAAATCAGCACCAATCAAGTGTGAACGGTCCTTGATAATTACAAAAAAAACAAGATAAAAACATATAGGTAAGATATAATATATAAACTAGTTTTTGTGAAAAAAACTGATCAGTTTTATATCGCCGAACATATCGTGCGCTCGAATATTTTGATTCGATAAATTACTTTAATTGATAACCTTTTTGCTAGTAAAAAATGAAGCGATTCATTTGTTTTTTTGTGTTTGTAACTTTCTGTGTAATATGTTCGGACGCGAAATATTTCGAGACGAATTGCGATTTAGTTCACGAACTGAGAAAACAAAAGTTTCCTGAAGATAGAATGAGGGATTGTTGGTATCTGTTATTTAGTCTCTAATTATTCATATCAGTGTTTAAAGGACCCGCTGTCTTTGTCCTAGGATTTTTTTGTGAGGTGTAAATCGTCAAATGGCTTTTGTACGTGTTACTGATTAAGAACGCTCCTGTTCTTGGTCCTGTTTTAGGCCGAAACCGCGGGGCAAGCGCAATAAGCCATTATTGCGCTTGCCCCGCAATCTCGGCTGAGGGTGTAGGCACTATCCCCCTTATTACAAAACAAGGTTTATCTTTAGTCCAGGTTTAAACCATTGAGTCGGGTTTTGAATTTTGAATCTTACTGTCATCTACCTTCAATTCGAAATACGAAAACTTGCTCAATGGTTTAGTCCTAGACTGAAGTAAAACCTTGTTTTGTAATAGAGCCGTATGTGTCTTATTTTTTTCATCTTCTTCTACCAAACGTCACCCTATCACTAAACACACAATATTTGCCATTTTTCATTATATTATTTTCCATTATATTTAAATTCAGTTCTATAATAGCTTGTCACATCTTCATGTCCAAGACAATCGACCTCCTTTTAGTTTCCTGATGGTAGTCTGCGCTGCTTTCAAACTCTTGCTTACCTGTGTTATCTCCTTCTTTTACTATTTTCACTGTTAATGTGAAAGTACTAAACAGTTTTATCTGATTTAATTATGCTGCTCTGAGCGATGTTTCGATTCCCGCAGAGAATAAGTCGTTGTGTGATTTTATTTCGTGTCTGGATATAATTTGTGTATTAATTTATATATTTCCTTATCTTTCTTCTTTTTTTTCTTTAAAGAAAACGTTGCCCTACGTCAGGATTTTTAGTATCGTAAGTGCGTTTAAAATCATACAATTCCACATACACATCACAGCCAGACCCGGAACAACAATTTGTAGATTACACAAAGAGTTGTTACGTGCGTGAATCTAACCCGCGACACGTTGTGCGGCAGCCAGTTGCCCAGCGCTTTGCTAAACGCATCTACCATTCTGAAGAAATTCTAGAGTAGGATCAAGTTTAATAAAAACTTCTATAAACCTGCAACTTCTGTAAACCTGTCGTGACTGCACTGTTGGCGCGGTCGCTAGGCAACTAAACAACGGCACGAAACAACTCTTCGTGTAATTCAGAAATTGCGAAATACTTTTCCTTTTTTGCTTGACGTTCAAAAGTGCCTACTGTGGTCTAATTGAAATAAATGATTTTGACTTTGACTTTGACTAAGTTGTTCTGGGTTTGGGTGTGACAACACAGGAGACAAATCATAGTCAGCAAAAATAGAGACAAAAACATTCTAATTTTATGCGTCGTATTTTCCAGGGGTATGTCTGGTAAACAGTGAGAGTGCTCGCCACACTGATGCCATAGGTGGACCCAATAAGAATGGCTCCAGAGACTATGGATTGTTCCAGATCAACGACCATTTCTGGTGCAGTAACAGCACAACGCCTGGAAAGAGCTGCCAAGTCACTTGTGCTGGTAAGTTTAATGAAAAATTACGGAAGATCTCTCGAAATTATGTTTCTTTTAGGGAGCTATGCTTTGCCGATATATTATGGCTTGCAGAAAATAAAAGAGATACAACCACTGCGTTGTGTTTTATCGTGTTCCCATTCCCAATTCCCAAATCTGTACCCTTCATATCTTTAACCTTCATAAGGTTGACAACGCACTCGTAACTCATCTGGTGCTGTGGGTATCCATGGGCAGTACTGGTTGCTTATTATCAAGATGATGATGATGATGAGATGGGTCGGCTTGTGTGACACCCTGACATGTAAAAAAGGGATCTCATATAATTGGAACATGAACAGCTGAACTCAATGGCATGGTTGTAATGGGTGTCTATGAAGGGTGCCGGATTGTTGCCATTTAAAATTATTTGGTCAGAAAATGGAAACACCCGAACATACAATCAGAAAATCATTTTAAAAATTAGTTATTTAAGGAAATAAAGTAATTTGTTTTAAAGGCACATTAATTTTTTCACCGTCATTTGGCTTTCCAGATTTGATTACGGACGACATCACGAAGGCGTCGATTTGCGCGCATAAAATCTTCAGGCGCCAAGGGTTCCCTGCCTGGCATGGATGGTCACAACGCTGCCAAGGAGATCTGCCTGATATAAGTAATTGCTAGTTTTAAGATTAATAATATTACTGTAATATGTTAAGTAAAATGAAAATGGAATAATACCATAGGTCCTACACCGCCACCTGGTAACTCTTCTGTTGTTGAGGCTGTCCAGGTTTCGTTAAGATGTTTTGCTTCACCGTATGTCAGTGGTGTCTAAATATGTATAATCATATTAAGTCCACATAATTCGAAAATAGTCATATTGGTACTAGCCAATCGCTGATTGATATTAATATATGTAGATATGAATTCTTGAAGGAAATAATTGAATGTAGGTAGCCTCTCTAGAATTTATTTTGGAAAGAATTTTATTGTGAATGTGTTAAGCCCTACCTGCTTTTATAGGTATATATGTGTTAAGCGATGATTCGGTATGATAATCCATATCAATGATTAATAAATTGGTGTGTGGTTTAGAATATTAAAAGCAGGTTAGTTCTAGATTAAATTGAGATCAAATAACCTTTTGTGTGTATTTTTGAAGTATGTAATTAAACTCATCAGTGTTTTCTTTGTGTGTTAAATTATAACGATAAGTTATAAAGTAAGTTTGTAGTGATGGCTCGGAGTTTGACGCGGCCGCTTCTCATGCATGAGGATGCTATTGCAAAAATACCATTAGTATCTTTATTCTGGCAGCTGTTTATTTTTGACAGGGATCGATTTCTGCACTGTTCACATTTCTAACCTAGCCTGACCCACCAATCTGATAGCAACTCGATTTTCCTGACGATCCCTTCACTGTTCAACTTACAGCCTGAATGAAAAATTTAGATAACATTCAGGTCGTGGGTTGTTTGACGACTAATTACAACTATTTGGCTGCAACATATGTACATATTTTGTAAACCCGCACCCACAACGTAGAAGAAACTGTGTTTACGCGAGAAAATGCAATTAAGCGCGAAAGGGGTTGCGAAAACTTGAAAATACTGGCGGTTACAAATAAGATTGAAAACTCGGCATACTGCGGGTGACACAAAAACGAGAAAGTATGCCAAAAGGAAGGAGCACAATACCTGCAGGTCTTCTACGCCGTCTTCTTTGACGAAGGAGCACTTCCACGAGTCAGTTTGCACAAATCACACCAGTTTTTCCACAAATATCAATTTTTGTAGCGGAGAACGAAGCGAACTCTCGCGCGCGATGTCAGCCATTGGGATTCTTTTCGTAAGGTTGCACACACGACTCAAGAGCGCTAGTGTCGCCTCTCGCTCCAACGCGTGTGCTAGCGTATGTGCGGGAAAGGGATGGGGAACAGGATTGCAACCACCAGTAATATTACCAACATTACGAATTCCTACCGAAAATTAAATAAGAAAATTACCGCGCAACCAAACTGTAAAGAAATTGTGGGCAAGGTTTAAAGAGAGAATAGCAAAATTTGTTGATTTTTTGGTAAATAAAATTTAGTATTTATTTAAATAATATAGGTTATTAAAAATATCATGATTTGTTTTTATAATAACTATCGTGAGACATAATAAATTAACTAAAAATCGCGGGTTACTCATAATATCATGATTTACTTACAGTTTTTTTAATAAATTTAATTTCGTATTTATTTTAAACTGATGTGCTATTTGAGGGAAATAAAGACATAACCTGCATACCATAAAGAGCAAAATAAAAAAAAATACTGCTTATTTTGACAGTTCGATAATTCAAACAGATATTTAGTTGTAAAAATTCATTGATTAATAATAAGATAAGGTTGATAGTTAATGAATAAATTCAAATTTTAAAGTAAACTATATGTACACTGCCATAGAATATTGTTATCTACAACAATAATAATTATATCAAAGCTGAAAAGTTTGCTGACGCTAATCTCAGGAACTGCTAGACGAATTTGATAAAAGTATTTTGCATTTGATAGTCAGATTTGGGACAGAGCAAGTACGGTTCTAATGGGGTTACCTACAGTTTGATATCTGATCCGATTAGGTGTATGTGTGTATTCAGGACAGATGCTTGATTTACTTCATAGTCACTTTTTGTTATTTTTTGTACGTCTGTGATGTCAATGAAATACACATCGAGAAGAAATACTTTTTTACTATCCTTACTAAAAACAAAATAATACCTGTAGATTTCCGTTAAGTGATGCCAAATTGTTTTCTGTATAAACATAAAAGGACTGTCAAGCATTCACATTTTTTTTAACTTTTTATGTTTTGATTTATGTGAGAGGATAGCAAATGAGCTATAAACAACGCTGTGTTCTGTGCTGTGCTGTGTCTTTCGCCCTTTTTCTGTGAGACCGTAGCTCGTAGTACGTAGTTCATAGCGCGTAGCACATAGCGCATAGCAAGTAGCGCGTAGCAGGTAGCTAGTTGTAGCGATTTTGCGGTTTTAATCATAGCATAGGCCGAATGGAAAAATATAACAAAGCCTTTAATTGATGACCTCAAGACTAAACTGACTTGTTATTAGAAAAACTGGATAACAGAAGCACGATTTATAATGAACTGATTTTAACTTCCATCCATCCGACGAATAGCAACGGTTTAATTTAGAGGCAGTGTAGTGGCATCTTAAAATACATTGGATCAATATCTAGTGCTTAGGCATCACATTTATAAACTCTAGACCAAATAGCCCTTTGCTGAATTTTATTAAGAAACATCCTCTAGTTATTTAAAGAAAATTATTAATGGTGGAGTTGTCTCTTCTCTGTTTGACATAGAGGTTCGAGTGGCAGAGAATGCCTAGGGCGTTTTGTTTACCTTAAGTATACAAAATTATGAGTAAAACATTAATAAATAAGTAAATAAAATTATGTATGAATTTGTTAAGTGTACAAGGAATATTACTAAGAGACTTTGTGCTTGTTACTAAGCACTTATCAACTGCAAATATCATGACTAAGTTATTAGAACTTAGAGTAAAGTGGTTAGCTCGCTGGAAACCGCTAGCTTAGTAGGGACAGATATTAAACCATTAATTAAACTGAATGGATGGCGATGTCAGACCGTTACGCTACAACGCACACAAGGGCTTCTGCCTATAAGTAATTAATTATCATTACATCATCACTGTTCTTAGAGATTTAAGCTGTTGGTGAGACTTGCAAATTTAGTTACATTAGAACAACCTACCAACTTAGATTATAAACGTTAGACTGGTAGATTCTTAAGAGCAAAGGCATTGAGTTCGCCTATGTACGAAAAAATAAAATTATGTTTTTTTCTTGGCACTTATTTATCTGTGTATTGCTATTATTTGGGTAATTTGAATATGATTATTTACTCCACAATCTCACTAACACCAGCTAAATGTTTTACGACCGAAAACTGTTAAATAATGTATTTATCAATGGATTTTAACTAATTATCCAGTTACTAAAGTTCCAGTTCAATAGGTTAAATAGAGTGTAATTAAGTAGTTTGGAGATAATTATTCTAATTAAACTTCTATAAATTAACGATATCAAAGTTAATTGAAGTCCTAAAGTCTTAATTTGTGTGGCAGCAACGTTTTATTTGACTCCATCAATTTCTTCAATTTGACAACCCTAAAACTTTGCAAAAGAAAAATGCTTGTCACTCGAGACACTCACAATGGGACAAGTATCGAAGAAAGTGAGGAAGAAAGTCAATTGGCAACTGCCAGCAATCAAAATTAAAAAAGAAATGAAATTAAAATGGCGGTCGCATCTCCACGCATGCGCGTGCCATCGACTTGCTTAGCTAGCACTGACCGGCGGCAGTTCGCCTTTCGCATCGCGTTGTGATGTTCGCGCTCGAATGGGAGGCGCGGGATGGGCGCGCGGCGAAGCGCGCGTTGCTGATGACTCGGACTTTGAAGCACTAAAGAAGCTCCTCGAATCTGAAGTAGGCTGGACGCTGGAGTATGAGAAGGATGGTGTCAAAGTTTGGGCAGAAGACGCGGCACACGGCGCGCTTCGAACTGTCAAGGTGTGTTGTTGTATTCACATTTGAAAACAAATAGTAAATAGCTGTTTCTATGGGTACCTAAAGTCTACGATTGTACTCAATAATTCTAGTTTGAACTGGTTATTATTTACCAGTGTAGATAGTGAAATTACTTAATAAAATTACGTTTACTAATATCAGATATCATGCAACCTTGTAATTTGTAGCAATAAAACATAAATGTTAATGTTTAGGCAGTGTGTCCTGTCCCCGGGTACCCGCAGCTGCGTTGACAACTTTTTTACTTAGTCACCACTTAGCTATTCCAACAAGTTCGGGATACTGCTTTCGTAGAATTATTAACATAATCAGAAAAGTTTTGGCAACTGTTTGAGAAATCCTTGTCTAAGTGTACGTTCAAATTTGTATACAGTTATCCCAATTGATACAAACTGAGAATATTTACGAAAATGAGATTTTGTCTTTTGGAATTTTTGAGCGTCATTACCTATGCGGATGTCGCTGGTTGCTAGTAAATGGGAGTACACACAGTATACACGTATCTGCAAGGTTATCACAGGCAAGGACAATTTTCTCTATCATATGGGTACTATAGACTTTTATTTTATATCTACAAACTGCGTTGAGTGGTTAGAATTGCCGTAGTTTGCGTTTTTTTCGCATATTCGATTTCCGGGTTTTTCACGACTAGTTCTTCTTCTTCGTTCCATTCTTCATGACTTCGTGGAAAAGTATTTCAACGTATTTCAGGGATTACAATGATCCATCCTATAGTGTTTATCACTTACATCGAATTAGATTAAACCTTTTGAAAATGTCGCAAAAAAACTTTAAAGACTCGAAGGCCTAAATTCGCATCCCAGTAAGTGTAGCCCTTTTATGCTAAAAGTTTGTAACAGTCGTATTAAATTTAACTGTTAATTTAATATAGTAACTAGTTCGAGCATTCGGGACGGGCTGGATTGACGTTCAACTGTTTTCGTTTACGATCCGAGTTTGTTTAGGTCCAATTTGGCAATTAAGACAAAGTTCGTTTGTGTCGGTATGAGGACTGCTCTGCATTTTGATGTTATGGTTTTTATTACTTGTATGGCTACCTACAATGTAATTTTTTTATTGAATTGACGTTCAGAGTCAATAATTGGATTGATTTTTGCAATTATTTTGTTTATTGGGTTGACAAATATTGTACCAAATAAGACATATTTAAAAGGGCCCAATTTGCTAATTTTCGTTGGAGAATTCCTACCTTATCTTTACCAGATAAGTTTAAATATATTATTCTTTTACTTTTCGATAAGTCTAGCTTTAGTGAAAGAAGCTTAATGATCTTAAAACTTGAAAATACCAATATTGTTTACGTCATCTAAAACGAAAACAGAAAATAAATTGTATTTTAAAGAAAACAAAATCCTTAAGCCTATCAAACGCTTTAAAAGAACCCAGGAAAATTTTACAACTCAGTAAGCCGGATTACATTCCCTGAAGCTATTTTCATAATACTCATGTAAGTTTTACAGTGCAGTTGATAACAATACATGGAAATTAGATAACTGTCTATATCTGTGTGGATAGAGTGGTGGAGATCATTAGTGAGTATGTGAGGCACCTGCGCGCTTCGTTTAGCCAATAATATAATGCCTAGGTATTTTAAGTGCTGTTTTCCGCATATGTGTTCGTTGATGGTCGATTTCGCTGATTCTGGCTTAATTTTGGCTAAGTTGACCTAAGTTGGGGAGAATATGTTCCACTTAAGGTATTTTCTAACTTGTCGTTTATATTTGTAAGAATAAGGTAAATCTATGGGTTTTAGTTATGACCTTGGGTCAAACAGTTTTCTATAATTGTTAATTTAACTTTTAGACGTGGTTATTTTACTAGTTTCAAGCCAAGGTTTATAATACTAAGTGATTATTATACTGACTTTTGATAATTCTATAGACATTTGTTTCGCGTTGACCACACATCTTTCGTTTCTGAATTCCTATTTATAAGTTTATTTTTAGTCGTCTGCTACTAATAATCAGCTAGTTATGGTATCCATCATCTGTTATATTGTGTCACAGTTTACCACCAACTTTATGGCTTATCCCACAATGCATGTTTTATCACCCGAAGCTATAATATCTTGTTATTGTTTGCCTATATCGGTAACTAGTGATTCAGGATGAGCTTAGTAAAATTAATGGGCCTAACATAATATTTGAATTTGGAGGAGAATTCATGTAAGTAGAAGTAAGTGGATTGATAGATATTTTTTTATGGCAAACGTTGTTTCAGACCAATTTTAAACGAGGCCATGGTTTTCATATTAGAGGGAATAGCTGATATTTTTGTTAATGCTTCTGACTCCAGTTATGTTTACACACAATTTAGCTTGGCGACACTTTACGGAAATCTACAGATTATATTCTTTTATTTTTAGTAAGGATAGTAAAAAGGTAAGGATAGTAAGGTCTTCTTGGTGTGTGTTTCATTGTAAGAGGGTGCGACCCTTTTGCCGGGTCCTGGCCTCAATAATTCTTTCACCCAAAAAGGAGTTCCTGTCGATTCTACTCAATTTGTGAATATATTTTTTATGTAATCGGTTTTATGAAATCAAGCACGAAGGTGCGGTTTCGAAACCTGGCAAGTACCGATGTGAGTCTACTTTCTCAGGATATTTACACACCACCGGCAAACGAAGAAGACAAACCATCTTGAGGGAACCTGGACTTTCTAACTGGAATTTCTAATCATACTTTTGATATCGGCAATCCGTCTTAGTTTTTTAATGTTCCTTCTTGGTGTGTCCTTGTAGGCTGATGATGTGTGATGTGAGTCAATCTTGTAATCATATTCTCATATTTGCACGAACTAAGGCTTTGAAAGGTAATATTACTTATAACTTAAATATTCCTTAGCGACAAATTTGTCCAGAAAACATTTGCTGAAGATTGTGGTAAGTTAATAAGTATTGCGGTTGCAAGGATTTGGCAATCAAATCCTTAAGTTCACCTCATACACGGTTCTACTAAACCAGACATAGCCTAATATCTGCACAAATTACAGTATGTTTAATAAAACGTATGCAATATACCTGGAATAGGATTTTGTGGTGAGCCCACGGGATCCAACGAAATATAGGGACGTTTTTATTTGACCTTGGTTTATCTTCACGATTCGCTAGTCAAAGCCTTGTTAGCTAGGGATTGACAGATTGAAAGGCTTTTGGGCTGATGTAAAACAATGAGCAATTTTGTTCAATAATTTAAGTTTTTTTATTTGGTTTTGTATGTAGGTATAATAGTTTATATGTAGGTATGAATTTATTTTATATACAAATTGTTTACAGGTACTAAGGTACAAGTAGCTGTAAGAAATTTGTACATAATTATGTTTAAAGACTATAAGTTTTTTTTTGTATATTTTAAACACACATACAATAACAATAATTGATAATACAGATTGAGGATGTTCCATTTATTTTTACATTGAGAACATATGACACACAACCTCTGTCGTCTTACATAGCAGCATAAAATTATGAGCCCCGCCGTGGTCTCTATCGTTCGATTAGTTTCAGGTCAGGACCGGGGCTCTCAAAATTTTACGGGAGTGAGTCATGTAAATGCATTCCAATAATTTAGTCACACTAGTGTTCACTAAAAGAAAAAACGTTACAGTTAGAATAAAGAATGCTATTATATTAAACTGACACTTTTTGCTCAGAAATAGTTCTGTAGAAATTGTTCAAACAGTTCTTGACTCCAGCTTTAGAACCTCACAGTGGAAGTTGGCGTTGCGTGGCCAAAGTTTGTCACAATCGTTGACGTTCGTCGGTTTGTTTGTGGCTGTTCGCTTTGGGTTGGATGTACGCGGTAACTTTGCGGAGATTCTGTTTAAGTTATCTTTGCCAGATTCCTTTGCGAAACGGCAAAAAAGGTTATCATATTTTTGTGGCATTTATTTTCTGTATGTCTTTTTACATAGAGGAAATGTCTCTAATTTGTGTTGGACGGTTTTGCCTGTCAAATCTTTAACTATTATTTATTTATATTATTATGTGGTCTTACGCGTGTGTAGTAGGTAAAATACATTTTCTTTGAATCAAGTCAATAGTACCTAATGCTATTGTAATATAAAAATAAATGTATGTAATACATAATATTACATACGATAGGAATACCAAAAAGCTTTAATACAAACGAAACAAAACACTATTCTGCCCATGTATTCTGCTTAGCACAGATGGTCATTCCGTGTTGCGATTAAATATTTAAACAACTGTAATTTAAATTCTGTAGCAAGGGCGAGACAAACACAGTATAGAACATGAGGAAAAACAAATAGGCAAATGCAGAATATTTTGCTAAATGGACAAAAAAAAAGCATTCGGAACGTTCGTTCTAATAAATCACAATGTTAAGTATTTTTTTACAAAATATTTTCATTGAAAAGCATCGCAGCCCTAAAATGGAACGCAAAATCTTTTCAAACTTTGTCCGTGACGAGCTGAACGCTGCCGTTTTATTTGGTAACGTTCATTTATCACACTTTGTGATACGTGACAGATGCTCTTGTGAATCTGTGGTTCATCAACGTTGTTACAATAATGGAGGAGAGCACGGCCTACTCGATACAGATAACAGTTTTTGTGTAAACATATAGGTTATGTTGATTTGATTAAAATGTTTATTTTATAATTCGTTTTTTGGGTTTTTTAAGGCTAATTATTTGGGTGGTGTTTTGGATTATTACATAGCAAAGCTCACGTGCTATAAATGGGCGTACCTTGGTATTAGTCACTTGTCTTCTTGGTGAAATACCGCAAAAACTAAACGGAAATTAGGTCCCGACTCTCCTCTCCACATTCCTAAAAAAAACTTTAATAAGAACCTTCTCCAGACCTTAATAAACATAGTATAAACTGAATTATCGGATTCAGTCCAGCCGTTCAGGTGTACTGCCATGACCAAGGGAGAAAAGGACTCATTTTTGAATTTATATGCTATTATGTAAACAATTAATAAATATTACGAAAGACTCATGAGTATTTGTTAACAATTGGGTTTCCTCTTAAAAAGCAAAGGTACAAAAAGAGACAGCAAACTATATTTACCGCCGGTCAGAAATTCTGATGCGGCATTACCTACCTATGTACAGTCTGCAAAGTTATTTGGTATGCAGGTACGAGAAATATATTGTATCAGTACAGAGACATCAGCCATAGGCTCGTTACTGAGCCAACTAAAAACATACAGTTTAGTATTTAAGTTTATAACCTACAAAAATAAAAGGGTAGTAGTAGTATCAGCATTGCATCCGTGCGAAGCCGGGTCGCTAGTTTAAAATATGGACAGTAAATGAGAAAGGAGGAAAGGAATTCTGTATATAAAATAAATATTTATTTTTGTTTACCTGCATACCAAATAACTTTGCAGACAGTATTTAATAATGTTATCACAATTATTTTCGCCGACAAGAATGTAGGTACCTACCATTAAATAGCATTTATTCCATTACACCAACTGAACCCAGTAATATTAAAATATAGCTAACACCGAACCAGTTACGCAGAGAAACGTACGGTTTACGTAATGAGGTGTGAGAGTCCTACGTTGGCGATGCTCACTCAAATGGCATGAGAGCAACAGTAATTTGCACATCTATTTCAGGACTTCACAAGGGTAGGGGGACCCAATCGATATTAAAGGCCGTGAAGAAATGAAGACTATTCGGCCGGAAAGGATCCGCTTAATATTTCTTGTACTTCAAAGAACGGTATAGGTTGTCTCTTATGTCAGGAGCAAAGGCTTAATATTGTTATTGTAAAAGACTTATTTTTTGAGGACATTGTAGAAACGGAAATATGTTATCTGAGAACTCCATTTTATAAGTCTTTTTCAGTTATACGTTTCATTGATAATAAAGTTTTTGACACTAACGTCAATATACAACGAGTCGATTATGGTTAGCACGATGTCTGGATGGTTATCCAGCCTCCTGCGTGGCTTCCGTGCAATGTTTAGCGGGCTCCCGTACAGAACGATTCTTTGCGCGTTCCGCAAATTGTCACGTGTCTGGGGTCAAATATATATGAAAAATTGATTTTAAAAGGTTGTCTGCCTGGGTGCGTTTATAAACATACAATTAATGTGAACAGTTTTGTGTGGGCCTGGGCCCGGAACAACAATCTGTATTAATTGTGGATACAATATAACACAATACAATTTCACACACACACTGCACCTAGGCGTGGCGTGTGTGTGTGAAATTGTATATTTGTAAACCCAAAAACGAACATACAAACCAGATAAGAAAAGCAAAAATATGAATACCTGTCTGCGTATCACCCTATGCTAGACTGAAACAAAATGCCTTCGGTACTGAGTTCGCCATTTTACAATGCTGTGCAAAAAGTATTGAAATTAATGAATAAAAATATTCAATGTAATAGATGTACATGTAATAATAAAATGTAATGTAATGGCACTAAGTTCGCCATTTTACAATGCTGTGCAAAAAGTATTGAAATTAATGAATAAAAAATATTCAATGTAATAGATGTATATGTAATAATAAATGTAATGTAATGACACTAAGTTCGCCATTGTACAATGCTGTGCAAAATGTATTGAAATTAATGAATAAAAAAATATTTTTACTTATTTCAAATGACACAACCATACAGATACAATAAAACTAAGAAGGATTATTTCAATACATGTATTGGTTTCTAACAAATGCGTGTATACAAATTCATTTATGAAGGCATAATCGAATAACCAAAACACACATGTCAACAAATATCACGTCAATCACCGTGACATTTTTATATTCATCATCAAATATGAGCGAATCAAAGCAGCAGCCATTTAACTCTGCAACGAATATTTGATCAACGCTTTTACAAAAACGTAATTATGCATCGTACTCGAGTTTTATTACCGGCGCCATATTTTATTCAGCGTTGTACATGAGTAATGGGTGCATTGCCATACCCAGCCTGCCTATGAAGTTGAATAATTAGTCGATGTAGTTTATAAGTAGGAAAGTTTAAGTCTAGTGCGCAGGTTTTTTCCTAAAGTAAGAGCTGATTAAAAAGTATGTATATTAAGTTTATTTAGTAGATATGTATTTACTTTACATCTACTATCTCAACTTCTGAAATTATTAACAATTTTAGTTTAAAAAAATAAGTATCAATTTAAAAGTAAAACCTAAAATAATTATCTATAATACATAAATATTGGATAAATAAAATAAAACGATACTTCAGTGGCGACGAACAAGGAACGAATGAATTTATTTTTAAACAAATGTCTTACATTGAAAATTAACATGTAGTTCTCAATGTCCTCAATAGATGGCGCTAGTAGTTTCATTTGATGTACCTATGAATTATATATTTCAACAATAAAAATACGCACCTTTTTAATTCTTCACTGATTTTGAAAATATAATTTGTTTTTTAGACAGGTTTTATTCAAAAACATCAACGTATTTGGAAAAAAATACTCATAAAATGTTATTACGGACAATATATTTTTTAAACAGTCAATTAGATGTTCTCTTACATAAATAGCAAGACAAATTATGGCATAATTTGATAAAATAGAGATAAAATAAAATAAATACAATTATCGTCAATTTTTGAATAATTTGAATATCGAATTATAAGCGTTCCCTCGTATGGGTACATAGAGGTATATGTAGATATC